TTCTCCCTGAGGCCATACAGGCTTAAATACAGGTTTTGATTTTGATTTTTAATATTGATGCGATTCTAAGGGTGAAAACCAACAACGGGAAGCTCCCAGTCCCCAAGACAAGTTCCGACCCAGATACATACAGATAGAGGCACATCAGGTGTTGTGTACTCGGCTACTATATGCTACTCATACTAGTCAACTGTGCACCGTATGCTAGTTTTCTGTGTGTGCAATTTGCAGGATATACAACCAGAGCCAGTGTTATTTTAAGCATTATTGCTTTTGAAATACACTCTCAGAAAAAAAAGGTACAAAAGCTGTCACTGGGGCTGTACCTTTTCAAAATGTAAACTTTTGTCCATTTTAGGTGTTAATATGTACATTTTAGGTGTTAATATGTACATTTTAGGTGCTAATAAGTACATCTAGGTGCTTATAAGTACATTTTAGGTGCTAATATGTACATTTTAGGTGCTTATAACTACATTTTAGGTGTTAATATGTATATTTTAGGTGCAAATATGTACATTTTAGGTGCTAATATGTACATTTTAGGTGCTTATAACTACATTTTAGGTGTTAATATGTATATTTTAGGTGCAAATATGTACATTTTAGGTGCTAATATGTACATTTTAAATGTTAATATGTACATTTTTGGTGCTTATATGTACATTTTAAGTGTTAATATGTACATTTTAGGTGCTAATATGTCAATTTTAGGAGCTATGTACATTTTAAGTGTTAATATGTACATTTTGGGTGCTAATATGTTCATTTCATGAGCTAATATGTCCATTTTAGGTGGTAATATGTACATTTAGGTGCTAATATGTATCACTAAGGTACCAATATGCAGCCTTTGGGTACAAAAGTGTACCTTTTGAAAAGGTACAGCCCCGGTGACAGCTTTTGTACCTTTTTTTCTGAGAGTGATTTTATTTTTTATTTTTTACAATGTGTTCACACTCGGCATGTTTGGTTTGGTTGGATTAAAACCTGGTGCGATTGCTCTGTTAGCGCGGTTCATTTGAATGAGCGTGAACGCTGATATCTGACCGACCAAACAAGAGGACCGAGACGCTGAAAAGACGAGTCTCGCTCCACTTCCAAACCAACTCTGGTGAAGTTTGAATGAAATATGAACGCAATACGGACCAAAGACGTGTGAACGAACCAAAAACAGGAAATCATGTGACAATATGCGACACTAAAAATGACAGAACGATCAAGCCTGTTTTTTCTCGTGACAGTTGCGATATTGCTCATCATAGTTCGGTACATCAGAACCGCGTCTCCTCACAGCATATCTGTGTGTTTGTGTGTGACGGAGTGATTCCTGCCACTGTTTTGACTTCATTACACATTTTATAAACCCTTCGCGAGTTCTCAGCTGGTCAGAATACCATCATATTTTGCTACGCATATTGTTTTGGATGTTTGGTAAGTCCATCGTGAAATATAGGCTACGTAAAGCCGAACAATCAGGTTGTGAACGTATCCCTGTGCCTTCATGTTTGGTGTTAAAATGCCACAGTTAATGCGTTAATAACGCTGTTCTGAGGACAATGGTGTCCCAAAATGCAACACACTTTACTCATATTTTCAGTCTGACAAATAAGACGGAAGCAATTTTTCACATAAACATTTACAAAATACTTAAAGGGATTAATTTCACTTTGAAATTAATTTTTGGTGTGTTTTAGCTTCCCTCAAGGGCATCTAAGATGCAGGTGTCTTTGTTTCCACGGTAGTTTCAATTTGGATATTTTTAGGTCAAAGCGTTCTTGTCTGTCAGTCATATAATGGAGGTCTATGGTCACCACCTCAAAGAGCATGCACAGAGAAGTCCAAATGAAACATGATTTAATAACTCCTAAATGGCCTAAGACACGAAACGAGCGGTTTGTATGAGAAAACGAACAGTATTTATATCGTTTTTAGTCACAAAGCGCACGCACCCTCAGATCACTTGGACGTGGCTGTGATTACAAGAGGTAAAAACGATATAAATACTGTTCGTTTTCTCACACAAACCGCTCGTTTCGTGTCTTAGGCCATTTAGGAGTCATTAAATCATGTTTCATTTGGACTTCTCTGTGCATGCTCTTTGAGGTGGTGACCATAGACCTCCATTATATGACAAGGACGGTTTGACCTAAAAATGTCAAAATTTAAACTACTGCGGAAACAAAGACACCTACATCTTGGATGCCCTTGAGGTAAGATAAAACATACCAAAAATGAATTTCAAAGTGAACTATCCCTTTAATAAAAGATTTAAATGAATCTATTTTCCAAATGCAACTCATTGAAATTGTGAATGATTCATCCATGCATATGTTATGTTATTTTTAATCAAAATGTCATTACTTGATCTTCCGGACTTCTTACCGTCTCCAATCATTTAGTCCTCTTAAACCCAGCCCAAGACCCACATCCATGATGGACTCAACCACATTTTTTAATTTTCAATAATCTATTTCACTCTGCTGTACAGCACAATACGAAAAACCTGTCACTTTTCATCGCGATTTAAAAAAATGAAATACAATTTTACTCTCAGAATTAAACAATCAGCGTAGTTATGTCATGTAATGACAACACAATTTTTAATTATTTTTATTGTCGACTGTTTTACACATAATATCTCAAAATCAAAAAAGTATATGCTAAACATTTCTCCCTAAGGCCATCAGGGCTCAAATATGATCTTTTTCTTCTTGTCATTGATGCTTTTCTGAGGTCTAAACTAACAGAAAGCTTCCCGTCCCCAAGACAAGTCTCGACCCAGATACATACAGACAGAGACACATCGATTCCATCTCTGTATGCTAAACTCCAACACTCAGGGGGAAAGCACATGCAAAAAAAGAAAAGAAAGAAGAGCAATAAAGGTGTTTCTCCTTAGAGACACGAATAAGAAAGGAGTTTGAACAAATAACAGGAGGGGAAAGAGAAAGAAATTTATTCGCTGCTAGTATTTTTAGATCAAAGGAGCTTTGTGATTGGAGCCGGTTTGAACTGTATGGTGGCTTCGGGTGGTCACATGACCAGCACAGCTCCCATAGTAAGAACCCTGGGGCCAGATACATGTGTGTGTGTGTGGTTGTGTGTGTGGGGGGTGACTGATTATCACCACCATCAATAAGTAATGACCAGTTCAAGCAAAAACGCAATCAAGAGTGGAAATGGAGAGGAAGGATGTTCACTGGTAATTAAATGACCATCATTCACCGCTGGCTCGAAACTCTATATAGTGATTTTGTATTGTCACTGTAGACGTGTGCGAGTGTAAAAGTAGGCTGTGCCCTTGTTTCCATATGTCCGTCGGTTTCCCTGGAGCGATGCACGTCAGTATGACAGAAAATCACCCACAGTTTCTAGTTGTTTTTGCTAAAGCTTCTGTTGGCCATGATTCGATAACCAAACCATCAAACCTCGGGGAACTTCCCTTGCCCTCTGTGTGTGAGGAGGAAAAGTGTGATGGCTCAGATGTTGCTCTGCTTTTCGATTGGTCGTGATGTTCGCTGCTGCTTTTGCTGGTGGAATTTGCATGTGTTTTAGTGTGCTTATTTTAAAGCACAAAAAAAGCATGAAAGAAATTATTTAAAATGTAGTTTAAAGTAATTTTAATGGAGGAGTTCACTTTTAAAAAACTTTTGATGATAATTTACTCACCCCCATTACTCATCACCCAAGATGTCCACGTCTTTCTTCCTTTAGTTGAAAAGAAATTAAGGTTTTTGATGAAAACATTCCAGGATTTTTCTCCATATAATGGACTTCAATGGGGACCAAACGGTACAAGGTCCAAATGAGAGTTTCAGTGCAGCTTCAAAGGGCTTTAAACGATTCCAGACGATGAATAAGGCACATTTTAGGTGATGTATATGTACATTTTAGGTGTTAATATGTACTTTTTAGGTGCTAATATGTACATTTTAGGTACTGATATATACATTTTAATTGTTAATATGTACATTTTATGAAAATATGTACATTTTAGGTGCTAATATGTACATTTTAGGTGTTAATATGTACATTTTAGGTGCTAACAAGTACATCTAGGTGCTTATAAGTACATTTTAGGTACTAATATATACATTTTAATTGTTAATATGTACATTTTACCTGCTGAAATGTACATTTTAGGTGTTAACATGTCCATTTTAGGTTGTAATATGTACATTTTAAGTGTTAATATGTACAATTTAGGTGCGTGTATGTACATTTTAGGTGCTTATAAGTACATTTTAGGGTACATCTAGGACCCTTCGAGTCATGACTCGAAAATATTTTTGAAATGAGCGATTGTTTCGCTTGATAAGACCCTTATTCATCATCTGGTGTTGTTTAAAGCCCTTTGAAGCTGCACTGAAACTCTCATTTGGACCTTGAACCGGTTGGTTCCCATTGAAGTCCATTATATGGAGAAAAATCCCGGAATGTTTTCATCAAAAACCTTCATTTCTTTTCGTCTGAAGAAAAAAAACACATGGACATCTTGGATGACATGGGGGTGAGTAAATTATCAGCAAAAGTTTTTTTTAAAAGTGAACTACTCCTTTAAGTGCACTTTTAAAAACGTATTTACATGAACGTGCACTCTTTAAGTACACTTAAGTGGCCATTAATATTACATTATCTGCAAGTACATTTTTTTAATTATACTTTAAGATTTGAAGCACATTTACAAGTGCACATTCAATACAATTAAGTGAGAGAGAGAGAGACAGAGAGAGAGAGTATAATTATAAAATGAATATGGATAGCAGAAGCACATCATTTGGACTTGGGAAAATTCACTGAGAAATATTTAATGTTTTATTGATATCTTGGGTATGTTGGGTAAATATTGTTTAGGGGACGCACAATCACAGGGTCTTCTGCCTTCTGCAAGCACATTCATCTGTTTAATGGATAAAGTGTGCATTTTGAAGTACACAAATAAGCATACTTCTTTTTCAAGGGGGGAAATTAAACATTTTTTTCCCTCTGTTTGACAGAGGTCCTGATGAATACGAAGACTGAGACATCAGATCTGAAGTGGACGACGTTCTCTCGTGGTAAACCTGAGGTGAGACCTGCAGATTTGACCCTACATGTAGTGCAAATGCTCAGTGCAAGCGGTGTGCGATTACGACTGATCTCCACTTGTTGTGTGTGCAGTGGGACGAGGTCAGTGGCCTGGATGAGGAGAACAACAGCGTGAGGACCTATCAGATCTGCCAGGCCGACGGGGCGTCCAGTCACTGGCTGCGCAGCAAACTCATCGACCGGCGAGGGGCGTCTCAGGTGTACGTGGAGCTGCTCTTCACCATGATCGAATGTTCATCGCGGCTCACACATCACCGGTCCTGCAAAGAGACCTTTAACCTTTACTACTACCAGAGTGACACGGATGACGCGACGGCAAGCTACCCCGCATGGATGGAGAACCCCTACACCAAGGTGCTCATACACACTAGACACTTTTAAAAAAGCTTTTGCTGATAATTTACTCAACCCCATGTCATCCAAGATGTCAATGTCTTTCTTTCTTCTCCATATAATGGACTTCAATGGGGTCCAACCGGTTCAAGGTCCAAATGAGAGTTTCAGTGGAGCTTCAAAGGGCTTTGAATGACACCAGACGATGAATAAGGGTCTTATCAAGCGAAATGATCGCTCATTTAAAAAAAAAAATAAAAAAGTTTAAGTTTTATAAGCACAAATGCTCGCCTTGCTGTGTTCAGTGACTCTACTGTTCGAACTGGTTCATCAAAATGAACAAATCTTTTTTTCGAGTCATTTCGTTCATTTTATTCGTTGAATCAACCAAATGACTCGAAAAATGATTCATTCATTTTGATGAACGAGTTCGAACAGGAGTGTCACAGAACACAGCTAGGTGAGCATTTGTGCTTATAAAACTTAAACTTTTTAATTTATTTTTCAAATGACTGCTCGGTTTGCTTGATAAGACCCTTATTCATCGTCTGGAATCGTTTAAAGCCCTTTGAACAGTTTGCAGTTTGCACTGAAACTATCTTTTGGACCTTGAACCGTTTGGACCCCATTGAAGTCCATTATATGGAGAAAAATCCTGGAATGTTTTCATCAAAAACCTTAATTTCTTTTCGACTGAAGAAAGAAAGACGTGGACATATTAGATGATATGGGGGTGAGTAAATTATCAGCAAACTTTTTTTTAAAGTGAACTACTCCTTTAAGTGTAAATTAATGACAGTTGAGTTAATGAACGATTGAAAGTCTTCTGTTTTCCCTCAGGTCGACACGGTGGCCGCAGACTTCTTGCTCCGTGCAGGTGGAGAGAAGAAGCCGAACATCAAGACGCTGCGTCTGGGCCCGTTGACCAAACGGGGATTTTACTTGGCGTTCCAGGCCCAGGGAGCGTGCATGGCCCTTTTATCCGTGCGCGTCTTCTTTAAGAAGTGTCCGGCCCTCACGCGCTCACTCTCCGTGTTCCCGGAGACGGTTCCTCGCTCGCTGGTGCAGGAGGCAGTGGGCCAGTGTGTGGCAAACGCAGCTCAGCCTGGACCGAATCCCAGACCGCCTAAGATGTTCTGTGGAGAAGATGGACAGTGGGTGGACCAGCCCACCACCACCTGCACTTGCCTGCCGGGCTTTGAGGCCAGCCATGGAGATCTGGAGTGTAGAGGTGAGAGAGAGGGAATACAACAGACTTCTCTGGGGATAATTTGAGCTCAACGTGAAGACGACGAGCTGTAGAGCTGAATCTCAGTTAAACTAAACTACAATGAAAAAATGAAGCTCGTCATCCGTGCACGGTATTAATGGAGTAGTTCACTTTTGAAAAAACATTTGCTGATAATTTATTCACCCCCATGTTATCCAAGATGTCCATGTCTTTCTTTCTTCAGTCGAAAAGAAATTAAGGTTTTTGATAAAAACATTCCATATAATGGACTTCAATGGGGTCCAAACGGTTCAAGGTCAAAAAGACAGTTTCAGTGCAAACTGTTCAAAGGGCTTTAAACGATTCCAGACGATGAATAAGGGTCTTATCAAGCGAAACGATCGCTCATTTAATAAATAAATAACAAAGTTTACGTTTTATAAGCTCAAATGCTCGTCTTGCTCTGTTCTGTGATGCGCGTTCGTGACTCTCCTGTTTGAACTCGTTCATCAAAATGAACAAATCTTTTTCCGAGTCATTTGGTTCATTCAATGAATTGACTTGGAAAAAGATTCAAACAGGAGAGTCACGAACGCGCGTCACAGAACAGAGCAAGGCGAGCATTTGAGCTTATAAAACTTAAACTTTGTTTATTAAATTATTTATTAAATGAGCGATCGTTTCACTTGATAAGACTCTTATTCATCGTCTTGAATCGTTTAACGCCCTGAAACTTCCTGAAAAGTCTGCAGTTTGCACTGAAACTGTCTTTTGGACCTTGAACCGTTTGGTTCCCATTGAAGTCCATTATATGGAGAAAAATCCTGGAATGTTTTCATCAAAAACCTTAATTTCTTTTCGACTGAAGACAGAACGAAATGGACATCTTTGATCACATGGGGGTGAGTAAATTATCAGCAAAAGTTTTATTAAAAGTGAACTACTCCTTTAAGATGTGTTTCGGTGGATCGGATCACTAGTGGACGACTCTAAATAGGTCGGCTGAAGACTTGAAGAGGAAAAACGATGTTCTCTCAGCATTCCTGATTTCTAACACACACTCATTGTTCGGCGTGATCTTGTCTGTCAGAGCAGAAACTAAAGCTGATGCTCTCCGTGTGTTCTTCTGGTTGTGTTCGTATGTACATTGCGTGAGCTTATTGTGTGCATTAGATCCATAGACCCTCCCCTCAAAGACTTCAGGACAGAAGTGTCTGAAAGTGGACAAAAGAGACGGATTAAAACACCAGGTGTAAACGGGAATGTCTCTCTCGTCTAATTGTGATCCGATCGACCGTAACGCATGTTAATACCAGCGGTGAACGGGACCTGAGAGAATGTTGACTGTTGAGTTCACAATATTGCCTTTCTACTTTGAGATTAAGTGTTGCGGAAGTTTATATTGACAACGACTGCAACTTCAGCTCTGATAAGAGAAGAGAGAGAGATACAGTAAAGGACAGATGGGATTGATTTAGACTGTGACTCTGAGAAGGAGAGAAACAGTGAGTGAGAGAGGTGAGATGAAGGTCTTGCTTTCAACTAGAGAAAATAGGTAGGAAGTGGAGAGATCAGGAGAGGATTACTGTGAATTTCATCAGTGTCCTACGGCTGGACACATTTTCATTCGCTATTGCATTACAGTTGCTGTGCGTCCTGGGTACATTTACATTTCTGCATGTGGCAGACACTTTTGTTCAAAGTTTCATGGTGAAATTGCAAAAGATTTCTTTCATCGTATGGCGAAATCACCAGTCTTAATATGGAAGATTAATTGTCTTTCTGATCAAATTTAGTCTCCAGTGTGTCCGAAATGTTGGGTTACGGTCTTGCAGTGTGATTGCACACATGACTGCCATCGTTTGATGAAGGAACGAGTCCGGGGAAACATAGAGCAATAGATTGGGTTCAGTAGTATTTTTGTAAGACGTTTTTGGAATAAAGTCTCTTCTGCTCACCGAGGCTGCATTTATTTGATCAGAAATACAGTAAAAACTGAAATATTATCAAAATATATTTAAAAATGTCATTTATTCCTGTGATAAAACAAAAGCTGCATCATTTCCTCCAGTCTCTTCAGAAATCATTCTAATAGGCTGATTTTCTGCTCAAGAAACATTTAATATAAGTATCAATGTTGAAAACAGCATAGTGTATTCTTTGATGAATAGAAAGAATCATGATATTTTCACAAAATATTCCAATTAATCCATTTACGATGGAAGCCTAGTAGGTTTTGAAGCACTATACATTAATTAGTTCCTTATCATTTTTCGTTGTAGCAAATATTGAATGTGTTAGTAGTTCGCTTTAAAAAAAAAAACTTTTGCTGATAATTTACTCGCCCCCATGTCATCCAGGATGTCCACGTCTTTCTTTCTTCAGTCGAAAATAAATTAAGGTTTGAAATGAAAACATTCCAGGATTTTCTCCATATAATGGACTTCAATGGGGTCCAAACGGTTCTAGGTCGAAATGACAGTTTCAGTGCAGCTTCAAAGGGCTTTAAACGATTCCAGACGATGAATAAGGGTCTTATCTGGCGAAACGATCGCTCATTTCAAAAATAAATAATAAAGTTTAAGTTGTATAAGCACAAATGCTCGTCTTGCTCTGTTCTGTGATGCGCGTTCGTGACTCTCCTGTTTGAACCCGTTCATCGAAATGAAAAATCTTTTTTCGAGTCATTTTTGAAATGACCGATCATTTTTGTTTCGTCTGGTGTCGTTTAAAGCCCTTTGAAGCTGCACTGAAACTCTCATTTGGACCTTGAACCGTTTGGTCCCCATTGAAGTCCATTATATGAAGAAAATCCTGGAATGTTTTCATCAAAAACTTTAATTTGTTTTCGACATGGACATGGACATCTTGGATGACACGGGGGTGAGTAAATTATCAGCAAACGTTTTACTCCTCCTTTAAACTCTAACAGGAACTATTGTTAAGTTTATGTGCCTCTTATAAAGCAAACGCATTTTATGAAGTGCATGAACAAAACTTCACTTTTGCTTTTAAACCTTCGGGAACGACTGCCTAATAGACTTGTACATTTGTTACTGCGAAGTGCGAACTAGTTTTTTAAAGTTCAGCAATGATTTTCTGTGGTAATGGATAGCATATGTCGCATGCGTGCAGCTTAAGTTGACCGGGAAAAGGATTTAACCAGGAAAATTCAATTTAAGGACATGACTGATCTACTTTAATTCAAGTAATCGCCATCTCTCACTGAAGTGGATCTGTCCAAATCCTCCCAGTTTTCCAAAATGACTTCAGCTCTTTACTGATGTTTCTCGGGATGGGTGGAGAGAGAGTGTGTTTGTCTGTTAAACACTGCAGCTGTGCTTTCTGTGGGCGTGAACCCCTGGAGTTCACACACACACACACTCACTCAATGACTTACTCAGCATTCATCCACTCAGCCACACTACATCTGCTGTTCATCCCTTTCTTTCACACACCCACACACACAAAGGCAGCGCAAAGCCATAATAGTGGCGCCTGCAGGCAGGGATGTGTCCAGGACAAAGCCGCTCTAATGACATGACCAATTAGGAATGGGCAGACAGAGAAAGAAAGAGAGAATACTGCAGTTTATTGGGCAGGTGAAAGGCCGAGTGGAGAGTGTGTGTGGTCATGGGGTCAAGGGCTGAAAGAGCAGAAAAGGTGTGTGTGTGTGAGGTTAATGGTACTAATGACTCGAATTAGTCGCATACAGATTCACACATGTGCAATCTCTTCTTGTTTAGCCAGTGATGGTATGATATGACTTTAAAATGAATATATTATTTATTCTTGCGATCAAAGCTGAATTACCTCGTGAAATCCTTACGAAATCACTCTAATATGATGATTTGATGCATTTCTGATTATTAAGAATGTTTAAAATGGTTGCACTGTTTCGTATTTTTGTGGAAACCGTGATTACTGTATTTTTTAGAAATCTTTGATGAACAGAAAGTAAAAAAAACAGTATTTACTTGTAATTAAATCTTTTGTAATATTATGAATATCTTTGGCTGTCACTTTTGATTTATTTAATGCCTAAATAAAAGTATTAATTTCATATATATATATATATATATATATATATATTAGGGCTGTCAAACGATTAATCGCGATTAATCGCATCCAGAATACAAGTTTGTGTTTACATAATATATGTGTGTACTGTGTATGATTATTTTGTATATATATATATATATATATATATATAAATACACACACGTGCATGTATATCTAAGAAAAAATAATAATTTATGTATAATATAAGTTATATATATAAATCTATATACAGTATGAAAACATTTCTTAAATATATACAAGCATGTGTGTGTATTTATATATATATAATAATTATACACAGTACACACACATATATTATATAAACACAAACTTTATTTTGAATGCGATTAATCGCTTGACTGCTCTAATATATATATATATATATATATATATATACGGGCGATTCTATAATTGGAGATACATTTTGCATTTCAATTTTTGAAAAAAAAAAAGGTTGTCATACAGAACCATTATTTAAGAATTACCTTGAAAACACTTTAAAGTTGCTAAATTCACTGCTATACAAATACAGATATTTTATTATTTTCTCTATTTTATAAAAATATCACCTGTTCATAGTTTTTCTCGTCAATTCTGTTACGGACGAACAACCAAATATATAGAAGTAACAGTACATCAAAAAATGATAAATCTTTTTAGTTTCATTTGAAATATAGTCCTTTTATTCAGGCCTTTAAAACAGATATTAAATATTATATTTATACAACTTCAAAAACAGATTCACCCCCAAGCAATAGTGGATTATCCAAAGGGTGCACTTGTTTTTTTTATCAAATTACTTGAACATTTCAGGGTAGAGATACAACTTTTACATATATCTTACTCTTGCACAATATAAAAATAACAATATTAAGTAGTTTGATATTTTAATGTATTATCTCATTAATATTCAAGATGAAAGACTAAAAACAGAATTGACACATCTGGTAACAGAATTG